GACGAAATAGGTTTCAATGAATACTCCGACAGTAAAAAAGTTAGAGTGTTTACCGACAAAACCAAAGTTGTACATAAAGTTGGAATATCAAGAAATTGCAAAAGATCAACTGTAATAGCTTGCATATCAGCTGACGGTAAATTTGTCACTCCTGGTATGGTGATTCCTAACAAACATTTTAGCAATTCAGTATCATTGAGTTTCACAGATTTGACAGTTTATTCAAATCCGAGTGGTTTTATTAACAAATATATTTTTCAAACTTGGATGATTGAACGCGTTTTGGGTTACATTGTAAAAAGAAGATCCGAAGTTGGTTTAAACAGTGACGTGAAAGCGGTTATTATATTAGATAATTGTTCGGCACATATTGATGAAAGATTAAAATCATTGTTTGCATCGCACAACATAATATTGCATTTTATAGTACCTCATAGTAGTCATTTATCACAACCACTTGATTTGTGTTTATTTGGTGTTGTTAAAAAATGCTCAAACACGACTACACCACTGTTCACTTGTCAAACCACTCAACAAATCAATTTAAAAACCCAGTGTTCAGATAAAATTTCAAATGATTTACAACAAAGAACAAGCGACGAACAACCAATATTAGACCAATCCAAATTAGAAAAATCATTAATAAAGTGGATAAATTCATTGGAAGATCCGATAACAAAACGAGCAATAAAGGATTCAAGAGCCAAATGGGGAACACTAATTACTTGTCATATAAACAAAGTAATAAAAACCATCTATAAAAAAGCAGTTCCAGAAACAATAGAGGCGTCATTTTTGCGTGCTGGATATAAATGTATCATCAACAACGGAAGAAAAAGAGTTTATGTCAACATTGAAAGCGCAAGTGTTTTTCTTAAAACTCTTATCTCAACTCCACCATTAGAAGTTTTGGAAAAACTCAGAGCTCCTGAAAACAAAATTGAATTGTGTAGAGCGACAGATGTAAACGAAAGAACAGTAATCGAATTATACATTAAAATTGAATCAACACAGTGGTTACCAATCGAAACCGAAAAAAGCACACCAATGTCTGTTCCAAACCAAT